GTATAAAATATGGTTGTAGCAACTATATCATTACTCTGAGCGTACAACTCCCACATTATCTGTCATTTTAAGAGAAGCTGGTCAGTGCAGATGAGAAGCAAATGAGTTGTGGCTTGATCAGATATATTTTGGTGGCTCACCAGATTATCATTGCCAGCCAGTGGAATCAGATAAGGAGTTTGCAGAAATCATTGCTTTGCAAATGGGCGATGTAGGTGTTCTGCACTTGAGAAGTCAACTTCTAAATGACTTGCTAGGGGCTGTTTTGGTGCATGGTAACAGAATTACTGCTCAGGAACTGGGTTTTTTTTGTTGTTTTAACAAGAAAGTAATTGAAGTGACTACGGCCCCTTTGAAGTCTTTACAATAAGCAAAGATTCTGATTAATTTAGCAGCGGGGCATCAGTGGCTATTAACAGCTTAACATGAGGCCCTGGTAGATTGATAAGGAGCTAAACAGCCCCTGAATCACATATTAACAATCTGGCCATACTATAATTGCGGCTCATGTTGGGTAATTGTCAGCATGGTTGATAGGCAACACAACAGCAGCAGCTATTTGTCTTTTAAATGGGCACTTAAATTATTCAGAATAATAGTTCATAGTCATCAGTACATCTGAGCCACAGTCCAGTTATTCTAGGCATGGATGACAAACTTTAATTTAGTTAGCTTAAGTACAGCACTGGGCTCTGCATGGGCAAACTCACCTGTGTCTGTAAGCAATTTCTCAGGCGGGGTGTCCAGCCCATGGTGAGATCCCTCTTCTATGGCCCAAGCATTAGTGGTGCATGAATAAACTAGGATGCAGCTAGCTTGGATGTGGTAACCAAACCAACAGCCGGGCAAACGTTTCACCTAGCATCTGAGCCACCCATGTTATATGTAGTTTTACCTCCCCAGACCAAGAGAGAAGGTAAAACCTGCAATGCTCACCTTATTTTTATTTATTTATTTTCTTAAGTCTGCTGTGGTTGCAGAAGGTTTGAGCAATTCCCCTGTGAATTTAATGTCTCTAACTAGTTCTATACGTTGTGGGACATTCTAGCCAAATAATAGTGAAAGTTTATGAACCATTAAATGTGCAGAAGGAGTCGGTAACCACTCGGTTGCTCCTCCAGTTCCTTCTTGTTGCAGCATTAGCAAATCTGAGCTAGTCACACAGTGGGGCATAGCTCAAATTAATTAGTTAAATTGCTATCTAATGGCAATAAGATTTGATGCCACTTAATATTTCAGTGCAAACATGGCAGGCAGGTTAACACATTTAAATATGATTGGCTCGCCTGTTCTAGTGGAGTATCTTAACTCCTGTTTGGGCCATCTACAGCACTCATTGTGCTCAATTAATTCTGCCATTAGCAGTGGTCTGATCTGCTATTAGCTCTGATAAAACGTACAGTCATCTCCATAGCCCTCTCCTTCAGTGATGACCATCCTGTGTTAAGGATGCTGAAATGCAATTTAAAGGGGGAGGGAGGACACACACACACTATGCTTTGTACATAATTAAGTCACATTAATGATGGGAGACTTAATTACAATTTGGAGTTTATCAGCAGAAAGCTCCAACGGTAGCTTGCAGCCTGCGATGGTGTTCGGCTGTGCACACACATGCTGCACAGTAGTCGAGCAGTTGTTTCAGGCTGTGGAAGGGCTCGGGGTGGAAGGTGCTGATTATTCTTAGCGTCCTGTGCCTGAGAAAAGTCATCGAGTTTGCTTACGCGCCTCTTGGTTTTCTTTTCTTTCTCCCTTTCTTTCCGCCCGCCCTCTCCCCCCACCCCCTTGTGAAGCAACCCTTCTGGCTTTGTTGTAAGTGTGGTTTGTAATCATTGTACACATCCCAGATGGTTCATGAAAACTCTTTGAAATGCCATCTGCCAGGCGTGTGTCCAGCCGGCAGCCTGTCATTCTGCTACAAGAAAAACGGAGGCGGGTTTTCCCTTTCCCCTGCCTTTCTGAATTGCATTCACTAACACTTGCTCAGATGTGAAGCAGGATAACAGCCCGAGCATCTGCAAGCCATCTTTGCTCTAGACAGCAACATGGAAACTTGTTGGGTTTTTCGCCTTCGCCCAGATAAGATATCCTAACCAGTGTAGTTTTTATTTTCCCTCTGTTTGTTGCTGGAGACCGACGCGAGGTGACAAATGTTATCTCTGTGATGTAATGTTTTTCTTTTACGCGGTGACTTGGTGTTTCTAATGCATTCAGCGTGTGTTGCAGGCAATCGTGCTGATAGCAAGCACATCTGCGATTTTTCGCCTTGAACATATTCAGGAAATTAAGAACACTGAGATGAAACAAATAGATCCATTAAAATGGCTAGGAGGAATTATGGCAGAGATATAATTGTCATGTCAAATAGGCAGCCAGCACTAGTAAACTGCTGACTGCAATTTCACTGCTATAAAAATTCAGAAGGAAAAAAAAAAGATTAATAAATACTTTCTGTGGGAAGATATAGATAAAGAAAAGAAGGCGGCTTTAAAAGATAAAGTAAAATGAATCCTGAAGTCCCCTGATCTTTGTGTCTCATGAATGCGTGTTGTCAGTTACTGGGAAAAAGTATGTCCCAATCTTTGTCATTCGGCTTGCGTGCCGCATGGCTCAGGGTGATGTTTGACTGATGCATTGGACAAGGCACACTACAGAGTTTAATTCTCACTTCCATCGTGCTCCAGGCATGGGACAGCTCCAGCACATCCTTGGACATACTTATTGCTGAAGCTTTTCATTCTTCCTCCGTACCTCTTGTGGGCCTGGTTTAGGGGAACCTGGCAGGGGGCAGGAACCACGATGCCCTGGCGAGGGTCCTCACAGCCTGAACATCGACAGCGATGTTGATGCTCAGGGAGGAGGTGCTGCGTCCAAGCTGTGCCACTTCATCCTGGGTGCCTGCATGCGCCTTGCATGCCAGGGAGGGACCTGCGTGGGCATTGCCCACTCAGCCTCGCTGCCTGCCTTTAGATAGAAATGCAGATGCTCAGGCAGAGAGAGGCATGTGGTGCAGTTCCAGTATTTCTCTGGTCTAAATCTGTGAAAGACATCTGTCCTCTGTTACAAACTACGTGGTAAAAACCATTGTAGTCTAACTGTAAGGATTCAAGAATACAAAGAATGCAAAATTGAATCCTTTCAAATAGGAAAGAGTAATTCTGCTAGTAGGGTGAAGATATCCATCATCATTTCCATCCCCTTTTTGCTTTTCCTCCTCATTCACACAGCTCCAAGAGAAGGAATGATAGAAAAAGCACAGGAATTTATAGACTATCTGAAGGCTGATGGTAAATAATAAAAAAAGAGAGAGAGTTTCTATTTTGAAACAAGAAATGGAGGATGTTCGAGAAAGTGGATGTCTATCAAGGAAATTAATCTAGTGATAGTCTTTCAAGGGTATCACACTGTCAAGACTGACCTCTTGAACAGTCTCTCAGATGAATAGGGCATAAGCAGACTTTCCGCTTCCCTGGCACTTGAGGAAAACATTTGCCAGATGCAGGCATGGTAAATTTATGCTCTTTCAACTTCTGAGAGCTGGAATCTTCCCAATTAGTTTCCAGAAGCTCAGCTTCTTTATACTTTCTTCAGTCCTTTTATAGAGGGTTTAAGAAATTGTATGCACTGAGAAGGCACTGCCCAGGGGCCGGAAGAGTCCCACAGAAGTGAGGAATCATGCTTCATTAAATGTTAGGTATGGTTTCCATATCTCTAAAGGTATTATTCCCAAGCCAGCAGATTGGTTGTGGCCACAGCACTCGGACACCTCCAACTCTCTAACGCTGCTCTTTTCTTCTAAAGTTCAGTTTCCTGTACCATCTGTAAATCTGTCATTTATATTTAATCTCAGATGTACAGAATCCAGCCATCTCCTAGCCTCCGGAGTCGTGGAAAATAAAGGCTAGTGAACAGAAATTGATCCTAATCAATTAAGCTGTGCTCAGTGACCTAAAATGCAGTGGCCCAAGCCATCTTAGCAAAAAGTTTTTCTTCTAGTTCAGTTTCCTGTACCATCTGTAAATCTGTCATTTATATTTAATCTCAGATGTACAGAATCCAGCCATCTCCTAGCCTCCGGAGACGTGGAAAATAAAGGCTAGTGAACAGAAATTGATCCTAATCAATTAAGCTGTGCTCAGTGACCTAAAATGCAGTGGCCCAAGCCATCTTAGCAAAAAGTCATGAAATGACTCATCTTATACCATGCTTCAAAGGGCTGTAAATTGGTCAGAAGGGAGAAGGGTTTCAGAGCTGGCAGAGTAGCAGTGATCAGAGCCCCGTTCTCCATGGGTACTATTTAAATTGTTGAGTGCTAGAGAGAGATTCAGTGTGAATTATTACTCAAAAGAAAAAGTATTTCTTGAACTGGAACGAGCTTATAGGTGAACTTCCATGAGAAGAGTTTGAAGGTTGTCTAGTGAGCACGTGTGAACAGTGCATCAAAATTGTCTCGCAGTACTTTTTAACATTGAATAAAAACTAATAGCATAAATAGAGATAAAATATTAAGAAATAAGGGAGAAAAGATCTTTATGATGTGAAAGAATATTTGGTGAGATAAAGTGACACAGAAATAGTGGAAGCTAGAAAGAAGTTGCCTTATCTGAGAATACAGATTGCAATTTTAGTGAAGTTGAAGTATGAGAGACTGTGCTAATGGCAGGAAGGTAGTTGCTGGCATATTCCCAGATACCAAACTCTTCCAGCTGTGTTTCTGCATGTGATATGAGAGATTTCTTTGCCAGAGGGTCTTTCTGGGAATATCAAAAACATTGTTGTTGGGTGGAACAACTGGTACTGCCAGCTCAACCTGTGATCTATGTCTCGTCTTGTTTTTATGTGGATTCCTAACTTCTAGCTGAACTTTAGACACTGCTCTATGTGTAGCTCACCGAATTGTATTTTAGAGATACTGTTGGATCTTTATGATCATTTTTTATTGTCCCTTTTAAGTCTTGGTAAGAAAACAACTATATTAACGTGCTAATTTTTCCTTTCAGGCACAACCCGTCCTCCAAGAGAAGGAGAAGTGCCTGGTGTGGACTATAACTTTCTGACTGTGGAGGAGTTTCTGGAGTTGGAGCGAAGTGGGACTCTTCTGGAAGTAGGAACTTACGAAGGTATGGAGCTGTGGGCAGTGAAAAAGCACTTCAAATAACCGTGGTAGGACACCAGGCTTGCAAAACCCGTGCTTGTCTTAGCCAGCTTGAGTTAGGACCTCACTTTCCATCCTAGTGCTCTACTTCTCTTTTCTCTGGGTACCCTGAGAGAAGGAATTCCAATATTGCTGTGCTTTTGTCTTTTCCCTTCAAGTTAACTACCTCAAAAGATTAACATCCGTACGCCAGGAAAATCCAGTATGAAATCCGGTAAAGAAATAGTGAGGGAAGACAGCTTGGCAGTGAATGAAAATGCATCTTTTCTTTGTATCTGCTATAGCCCATCTCCTTGGTCACTTTTTCTTCCCTCCTGCTGTCTCGCTTTCCCTTCATCTTCCCTAAATACACATCCTTCATCACCCAATTGTGTCTCACTATGCAGCTACATGATGCACTGCTTTTGGCCTTTTTTCTTCTTCTTTACTCTTGGATAATTACTTCTAACTTGGGTCATTGTGTTGACCCTTTTTACAGAACAGCTTTACAAACAACAGCACTGAGACAGCCAAGGAGCACTGAAATGTCACTAGGGTGAAAGCAGGAAAAAGATAGCTTTGAATTCCAGGAAAATGCAAGGCAAATTGGCCATATTTAGATACACAATAGGATTTGTGTAACTAAACCTGCAATCTCTATCTCCTTTAAATTGAAAACTCCTTTTAGGGTGGCTATTTATTTATTTATTTATTTCCCCCCTGGAGAACATTCAACTGTACCTCTTGAGAAGACAATGAAAAGAAACACGTTACAGGTTTGAAAGTCCTTCCAGTGTACTTCAGTTCATTCATGCGTATTTCCATTTGCAAGAAGTTAAATGGGTCTTGTTGTAATTACAAGAAGTTGAAAAAGCATTATTCTTGCAGCTGTTAGTAAGTAACATGAAATACATTTAAAACCATGAACTACACACAAATAGCTGATAGTCTTTGAAAAGTAGTCATCAAATATGAACAAAAAAGATTGTGACATGTGGTTTTGGTTTTCAAGCTCTAAAAAAAAGTCCTGAAACACTGTTTGTTTAGTCTGCTTCTTTGAAAACTCTCTGTAAGGTCACCTTTAAACCTCGCACTTATTCCCAACTGCAGACAATTGCAGTGTCAAACCTGGTTTGCATGAAGATGCTAAATGTATAGTTTGGTTTCACTCTTCCACCTCTCAGAGCTGATTAGCTCCATCAGCACCAATGCTAACGTTCCAGCAGCAGCACTTCTCCAAAATGAGCTTTTTCCTCTCCATGTTTCTAATTATAACACTAAATTAGTTTTCTTTGTCATGGTGCTCGAAATAGATCAGCTGAACTGCCTCGCCATTACTTCCTGATCGTACTTGTTCTGGTGACCTTTCCACTTGGAAAGACAAAATGGGTAACTGGCTGTAAGCTGGCTCCTGGGACTTGCTGGGAATTAGTTTTCAGGAAATGCTGTACCCATCTGGGACAGTTATAACATGGTCATTTCATTGCTTATGTGATTATATGCAGTAGCAGCTAAATTGTTTAGATTTCATGGGTTGCTCTTTTGAGTAGCTGAAGATGAGGTTGATTTCTCAGAAGTCTAATGCGTATTTCATTTCTGTGGGTGATAGAAGCGTCTGAACTTTAAAGGAATAATTTGTCAGAAGTGCTGAGAAGCCTCTTTCCCCGTTGACATCAGTGATGCTGGTGCATAGTGGTTCTGGAGAGCTGGCCCATGGAACTAAAAATCAATAAGAATAAAGCAAATAATGATGATGCATGTGTGCACATACGCATCAAGACACATTACTATTTGATTGTAATGTGAAATAAATAAAGTTAATTTTTCACTTAAAGCTTCAAGAAATGATTTTGCTGCCTTCCGAGATTTCTTTAATGGCTTTGTTGTACTTTTTTTGGAAATCTTATTTTACAGCTGTATTGATCAAGACAGTGTTGATCTTGATTAGATCTTGGGAGATGGTGTGGTTCAGACTCAATGCTGCAATCACCAGCATTTTTGTCTGTAAAAAAACCCCAATCCGCCAAAAAACCCAGACCACAAAGTAAGTTAGACTTCTAATGTCCAAGTCTTTGTTATTGCCCAGCTTTATAGTCTTAGATTAATTATAATTTGTTTTATGCTGCATTTTGCTGCCGCCTTTTTTTTTGCTTATTCTAAACATGAGGGATGGAACCCAACCCTGCTAGTGATGGCTTATTCTAAACCAGAGGGATGGAACCCAACAAAAGGAAACAATCTTCTATTTCTCTCTGGAGAACAATAAAATAATACCTTTAATGCATGGCTTTTATTATTAATAATGCCACCTATTGTACGGAGTAGGAATCAAACAATTGCAAAAATAGGGTTGCTTTTTATTACAGTGTAATTAGGTGATTTAGAGATGAAGGAAGGGGAATGCTAGGAAATGGAGAGTAGTGATGTCAAATGGGGAAGTTTTCACGTGCCCAGCAGCCACAAGCTCATGCAGGCTGGTGGTTTGGGGTCAGGGTGGTCCTGAGGTGCCTTCTGGCCCTTAATTTCTAAGAATCTGAATGTGGTATGGGGGGGAGATGGATGGATGCTCTGTGTTTTTGTGCTGTGTTTCAGCAGCTGGAGAGGAAGTCTGACCCAAATGATCAGGATGAAGTTCTGGCGTCACTGGATGACATTTGTTTGCCTCTGGAAGGCATAAAGCCACCCAGATACTAGCACTGTCGTTGGGAAGAGCCTTGCAGGAGAACACGTAACACAAGCATTTGTTTAGTAACAGTTACTGAAGAGAACTGGGGAGAAAGATTAAGAAACAGGGAGCCATCAGAAGAGCGGCAATACACAGGACTTTGATGCTGATACGGATACTATTGATTTGGAAAGAATAAAGAACAAGCAGAAGCAAACAGTTGGAAACCATAAAAGAGTAGGAGTGTGCATCAGGTTTTAAAAGAAAAACCTGGGTTTTGAAAGTGCTTTAATTGCAAAGCAAGAAACTGCAAGCTGAATAGGACAAAAAAGGTGTTGCCTATCTACTGGGCTGCATAATGTGTCATTATTATTTCTTCTGGTGCGCTGCAAATAGGTTCCTCTGGGCAGTTTTTGATTCACATCCCAGTGAATGCAGAGAGGGCATGGCAACTGCTTTTCTGGTCACCTGTCACCTCTCTGGTGTGTTCTGCACCCAAAATGCTCCAAAAATCCTGATCAGGTGGGAGGGGATGTTTGAAAGCCTTAATTCCTGAGGTTTTCAGTTCCAGTTTTAACATGCTGCTTTTTAACCATAAAGCCTATAAAGTTCTTTTTTCCCCTAATGAAAGCTACATGTTGATCCCATGAACCCAGGAGCTGGAGCTGAAATCCTGGAAGACCTGCCCAAAGCTGCGATGCTGCACCAGCATTGGTGGGTTTTGCACCATGTGCATGCTGGTAGAGCTGCACGCAACACGCTCAAGCCAGTTAGTAATTCCCATTGACAATACTCATTAGGAAGGAAAAATCTTATTAGACTGCACATTATCTAGGCCTTCTAGTGGATAGGAAACCATGATAATTGTAATCTCAGGCATTTATTGACCGATCCTTCAGGGCATAAAATACTGATGGATGCATGGAAGTAATTGTGTAGGTTACTAATTATTTAGCAATTACTTCTGCATTTGAATTGCAGGCTCTCACAGGGACCCCAAGGGAGGTCTGTTTTGAGCAGAACCACAACTTCTAGGTTTTATTCCCATTTCTTCCGCAGCTGCTGAGTGGCCCTGGGCAGATCAGGTAACTGCTCTATACTTCAGGTTACTGGCCTGGAGAATATTAAAACAACACTTACTTCTCTCTTCATTAATATTTCAGCAGATATCCTGTGCCTGCAGATATGTGCTATCACAAATAGGAGGGAGAGACTAGAAGCGATGCTATTTCAGAGGGCCGTGCTGAATGCAGCAGCGGAGATGGGTGGTGTGCAGAGACGCGCGGGGACATTAGCATGGTGGCTGAATTTTAAATGGGGATGGCTGTGTCGCCGGGGTCTGGTGAGGCTGTATTAATGCATGCCTGCCCAGCACTTAGTGATCCTCAGAAGAAAAAGTGCTGCACTTTATAACATGTGAAAGGTTATTACATTATAGTGTATTATTGTCAAGGCATCATCTTTCATTCTCAGGACAAGTGTTATGTGATTGCCAAGAGAAGTAATAAGTAATCTGCATTAGTCTCATGACTAAGATGTAATGGGGTGACTTGCTAACATTTTTAAAGTGTATAAAACTAGTTACTGTAGACAGGGTCTCCAATTGTAGTACTTAATGAGTGTAATAAATTACCTTAATAGTGCAGTTAGAATTTCAGCTGAAGTAGAGAGGTGTATTCAGCAACATGCTTCAAATCAAGATGCCTTTAGCCTAATTTATCTGATGTGCTAGCTCTCCTTGGGTTTCTCTGCAGCAGCCCCGCTCCCCCAGCTGCTTTAGCAAAATGGCTGGATTCTCTTTGCTGCTCTTCTGGTGTCTTTGCAGCCTGTGGGTCTGGCCAACGTGGTACAACCTTGAAATGAGAGCTGTGTCTGTGGCATGCAAAACATGACAGGAAAATTGGGTGAGTAAGGGTGGCAGATGCTGGGGATGCCCATGCAGCGGAACAACATGTTCCACTTAATAAGATAAGATCCGCTTATTAATGTCTCCATACTACAGATTGACTCAATAAATCATAATGGCTCCTTTAGCACCATTATAATGTATCATGTCGAATATCCACTTATTAACATCTGTGCACTGCAGAAAGATTCCTGTTCTATCTTTGGCTGTTTTACTTTGCTTTTTTTTTTTTTTTTTTTAATTTGGGGTCGGGGGTGACAACACGTTCTTGTGTATGTACACAATTATCAGTGTTAAACATGAGTGCTGCTATACTAAAGTATCATCTGATAACAATGCTTCATTCTACAAATGGCTAAAGTAGTAGCTAAGTAACTCTCTCTAAAAGCAAATATTCAAATATCTGATAGGGTTT